AAATTAAAAAAAAAAAAAAAAAAAACTAATAATAACAAATGGAATTAAATAAATAAATAAATATTTTTTAAAAATAAATAAATCAAACTCCATCCTCTGCTGTACACAGCCCTTTTGACTCCCTGACATTGATTTAAGGAAAGAAGAAAAGGGGTGTCAATGTTGGAAGGGCCTCCTCACTTTCTTCCGCCGCTTCGGTTTGGCTTCTCCCTTGGGTACTGTGCTGTTTGGTTTAGGGGCTGCAGTGGCCCTAGGGCCAGGTTGAGGAGCTGCAAAGAAGTTTCCATTGGACATCTGCCCTGATGGTACTTGAAAGATCCGGCTCAAGAAATCTTGAAGGTCAGCAGGAGGGGCATCTGGAGTAGCTCTGAGAAGGAAAAAAAAAAAATATATATATATAAGGCAAGAGAAGTTAGAGTCCCATAGATACCTACATTAAAGTCCAAAACTTCTAGAAAGTGAGGCACACTGGTGCCCTAAACAGTAGGTCATCTGAACCCATATTCAAAACTGGAATAGGGAATAGATTACTGAGAGAAATACCACCTACCTCTGCCTCCCACTGGTGCCTGGGATCCGAGAACCAAATGAGATATGATAAGGGACTCTATGAGTGTCTGGAGAGATTCCCACACGCTGGCATCCAGCCCACTCTGCAAGAATGAGAAATAATTAGCCAAAATGACAGTTTAGAGCACACATGAGAGAAGGAAGTATGAGCCTGTAATTCTAGTGGGCAGAAGTGTACCTGTGATGTCATACACCTTTCCATCCATCAGTGCAAAGTAGGTGATCTTGAGACCCAACATGCTTGATTCTGCCCAGAAGTCTCCTTCCTCAGCAGGATGTAGCCTATTACACTCAGCACAGTATCTGGCGCTTTTAGGTTCCCGGTCCATTTCAAACCTCCTGGAACCCAACAAAAGGATTGTGAAACCTACCTAGAGCATTACTAGTGACAAACATGGCTGATACATCAAAAGCGATCTGTTCTCAAACTATCCTAAAGCTATTTTTTTTCTTACTGCTAATTCAAATCTTAGGTTTCTTAATAATAGTATGGCAAAGGGACCAGCAGATGGCGTGGTGGTTAGGATGCTGGACACTCCCACATGGCCGACCACCAGACCTGGTGGCTTGCTTTCTCACTTTCCCTCTCTCTCTCTCTGTGTATCTCTCTCTGGTCAAATTAAAATAAATGAATGAATAAATAAAATTAAATAAATTATTAAAATAATAATAATAATAATAGTATGGCAAAGAAAGAAACTTTAGGATCTTGGGACCAGTAAATGGTGTAATGGTTACATCACTGAACTCACAAAGTTAACCGTGGTCTGAGTCCTGAGGTTTGAGCTTAAGCCTCATGCCAAGCATGTATGCATGCAAGCCCAAAATCCCAAGAGGAGAATGGAGGAGAAGGGACTGGAGCGTGGCCATCCTCCTGGGGAATGATTTCTCACTCTGTCTCTCTCTCTCTAGCGAGTGCACACAACCCTACAGCAAAAATCTCTAAAAATAAATTAAAAAGGGCCAGCAGGTGGCATGGTGGTGAAGGTGCTGGAATTCCCACATGGCTGGCCATGGTTTGAGTCCTGGACCTGGCAGCTTGCTTTCTCACTCTCTCTCTCTGTCTTTCTCTGGCAAAACTCATGTGAAAAATAATATTAACAACAATAATAATAAATAAATAATTCTTTTAAAATATTAAGAAAGAAAGAAAAAGAAAAACCTTAGAAGCTTATACTCATCATCTGTATCCCACAATTACCAACAACACTAACAACAAACATCTTTGGTAATTCAGCCCCTAAGCTGTGGTGGTCACGTATCTGTCCTATTTCATACCTATGCTTTCCTTGGCATCGACTACACATCATAGTATTCATTGCTTCCTTGAGGTCATCTTGCAGCTTGGATAGAAACTCATTCACTGACCGGCTCAGCTCATTCTCTGCCATTCGTTTCCTAAGAGAAGAAAGGATCTGTCAGTCAGTATTGAGGGAAGAACAAAGAAAGCCAGATCCATTGGCCTTTTGAGGCCCCGGGCTAGCTAGAAAGACAAGCAACTTCAGTTTTCTCTACCACATAAAGCCTTCATCTACAAGTCCAGGGGCCTCTCCTATCAAAGATTTTCATTTGGGGCAGCAGGTAGTGTGGTGGTTTAAGGCAATGGACTCCTACACAGTCGACTGCAATTTGAGTCCCAGACCTGGTGGCTTGCTTTCTCACTTTCCCTGTCTCTCTCGCTCGCTCTTTCTATCTGATAAGCACACATGCCCTAGCAAATTGAAAAATAATAATAAAATTAAATAAATTCTTAAAAAGATTTCCATTTACTTCACCTGACAATTTCCCATCTCCAACTTACATCTCATATTCCTTCCGCCTTTCAGGGTTGCTGACAATGTCCCAAGCTGCCCGTAAAACCTTGAAGGCCTCCTCAGCCCGGGGGTGATGATTTTTGTCAGGATGAACCTATCAAGACAATGAGATTTCATCATAATCCACTCCAATCCTTACCCCATCTTACATTTCCTCTCATGGTAAATGTTCTCCTTCACCACCCTTTTGGAAAGTCAATACTGCTTAATGATTAATTCTTTGGCTCTGTAGGCAGACCTCAGTACTGTCACTTATCTATATGACCTTGAATATTTATCTCTCCTGGGTTGTTGGGAGAATAACAACAAAAAATACATGCTGGAGCTAGATGGTGGCACAGCAGTAAAACACAGAGGGGCTGACCTACATGGGAAAGTTGCTTATTCAAGTCCAGAAACCTCCCTGAATATGCCCAGCATGCTTGTACCTGTGATCCAGGCTGGCAGAAGCTGGGAGTGGATTGCTGTGTCAAGATCCTGCCAAGTGCTCTGTCTGTCTCACTCTTGAGATTTTTTTTTTAATTGAAGTGGGGGGGGGAAACCCACAAGCCTATAGTACAGAATCTGGCACTAGAATGCACCAACATCAAAGTTTGCCTAGGACTGTTCCAGTTTTAGTACTGAAAACCTTTATCTCAGGAAACACCTCAATCCCAGGTGAGTATGAATAGCTGATCACCCTACCTGACACACAAATACTACTAAGTCTTGCATTTTAGTTTAATTATTAATTATAAAGTAACAGTTCCAAAAGTCAATCTCGAAACTGATTTATTTACTTATTTATTAATTTTTTAAATAGAGAGGTTTTTGCTATAGGGCATGTACACTCCCCAGAAGGACAGAAACAGAGAGACAGAAAGCAAGAAATCACCCCTCGGGGGATGGCCACACCGCAATCCCTTCTCCTCCATTCTCCTATTGGGATCTTGGGCATGCGCACACAAGCGCACCCAGCATGAGTTTAAACTACCAGGTCCGGGACTTGAACCGTGGTCGACTACATGGGAGTCCAGCCACGTAGCCATTATGCCATCTGCTGGTCCTGACACTGATTTTTTTCTAACTTAGTTAATATTCATATTCAAAACTTCCTACGATAGTCTGCCTTTCTATCCCAGAAATGAAATAGCACATAGGTTTGGTTTTTTTTTTTTTTGGAGAGGTTTATGCTATAGGGCACATGCCCCCGCCAGCCAGCAGAGAGAGACAGAGAGACAGAAAGCGAGAAATCACCCCCCTGGGGGATGGCCACGCCACAATCCCTTCTCCTCCATTTTCCTTTCAGGATCTTGGGCATGCACACACACACGCCCGGCGTGAGTTTAAGCCACTGGGTCTGGGACGCAAACCGCGGTCGGCTACATGGGAGTCCAGCAACATAGCCATTACGCTAACTGCTGGTCCCGAAATAGCATATAGTTTTCTCAGAGGTTTGTTTTTTCCTTTCTTTTTCTTTTTTTTCTTTTTTTTTTTTTTTTTGAGAGGTTTTTGCTATAGGGCACATGCACTCGCCAGAGAGACAGAGAGATAGAAAGCAACAAATCACCCCCCAGGGGGGATGGCCACACCACAATCCCTTCTACTCCATTCTCTTCTCGGGATCTTAGGCACGCACGCACACATGCCTGGCATGAGTTTAAGCCATCGGGTCCGGGACTCAAACTGCAGTTGGCTACATGGGAGTTCAACGACATAGACATTACACTAACTGCTGGTCCTCTCAGAGGCTTTTTACACACTTCTTTTTAACTGTCAGAGAGTACAAGCACTCACTAGAGAGAGAAAAAAAAGGAGAGGGAGAAAACACCCCTCCATGAGGTTTAACTACACCCCAATCCCTGCTTCATGTCTCCGTCCTATCAAGATTTTGGACACGCACACACACATTAAAACTCCTGGAGCCAGGATTCAACCTGCTATTGGCCATGATGGGGGGTAGGGATTCAGCTCCCTTAATCAGTAGCCACAAAGCTGAACTATATTTTTTTTCTTGATTTTTTTTTCTTGAAATCACTTTTTTTTTTTAGGTTTTGGTCATAGCATGTGTGCACCTGCCAGAGAGACAGAAAAGGAAAGTGAGAAATCACTTCCGGGGTGTGTGTGTGTGTGGCCATACTGTAATCTGTTATCCTTTATTCTCTTCTCAGGATTTTGGGTGTACACACACACAGCGTGATTTTCAAGCCAAGGCAATGCGAGAATACAGTACCTTAACCACTATGCTACCTGCTGTCCTCTGAATCTTTAACCTTAAATTAATGTAAAACAGGGCCAGCAGGTGGCATGGTGGTTGAGACACTGGATTCCCACATGACCAACCATGGTTTGAGTTCCAGTCCTGGTGGCTTGCTCTCTTGCTTTCTCTCTCTCAGGTAAATTTTTTAAAATTATTATTACATTATTATTAATAATAATAAATTAAATAAGTAATTTTTTAAAATTCATGATCAGGAACCAGCAGATGGTGTATTGGTTATATCAATGGACTCCCACATGGTTGACCACAGTTTGAATCCCAGACCGGGCAGCATATATGTGTGTGTGTGTGTGTGTGTGTGTGTGTGTGTACCCAAAACCCCGAGAGGAAAATGGAGGAGAAAGAATTATAGCGTGGCCATCCCCCCAGGAATGATTTCTCACATTCTATCTTTCTGTCTCTCTGGCAAGTGCACATGCCCTACAGCCAAAAAAATAAATAAAACTCTATTAAGAAAAAAATTCACGATCAAGTACATGTGGGCACACAGGAGAGACAGACAGCCTACACTATACACATGATCCCTCTCTCCAGTCTGCTAGGATCCTGGGCATGCTTATGCATTCCCGGCATGTTTTCAGGCTAACTGGACAGGACTCAAACCATGGTCAGCAATGCGGCTTCCTGCTCTGTAGTCCTGTCTACTACTGGCTGCACTAGAGAGTCTGGGCATTCATTTTTACACACTTTTCAGCCTTTTCTTGATAAATGACATTCTCTCTTCCTACAGGTTCCTTATTGTTCCTAATCTCCATACCCCGAAAACACAGAGATAAAGCTGTTCTGACTGATTCCATGTAAACAGAATGCTTTTAAATTTCCCACATTCCCAGGCTAATAGGATAGATAGCCTTTTGGGACCAGCAGTTGGCATAATGGCTATGTTGTTGGACTCCCATGTAATCACCACGGTTTGAGTCTCAGACCTGGTGGCTTAAACTCACGCCGGGCGCGTGTGCATGCGTGCCGAAGATCCTGAGAAGAAAATGGAGAAGGGATTGCGGTTTGGCCATTCCCCCTGGGGGGTGATTTCTCGCTTTCTGTCTTTCTGTCTTTCTGGCAAGCTCACATGCCCTACCTCAAAAAAAAAAAAAGAAAAAAAAAAGCTTTTTAGTCATGTTCATATGGGGGCCTAATAAAAGCAGTGAGAAGCTGTATAAAAGAAGTCCACAGACACCAACCCAGAACAAGATAGAACTTTGGAGTGTGGCATGGGCAGGTGTGTTGAGAATAAAAGACCTTAACTACTTCTCTACCCCAAGAAAAGTTAAGTTGAAAAATGAGAATTTTTCTAAGAATGATATTCCATAAGAGAAGATGTCTGTGAAAAGACTTGAAGGTGAGAAAAAGAAGTCTATTATCAGTAACAACTTGAGGGTAAGCACTCGTTACCTACTCTAAGAATTTACCAGGGGCACGTATTTCCCACCAAACTAATTTAGTCCTTTGGTAAGTTATAGCCCTAGTGGTTTTACTGTGCCTTTAATTGTTCATGGAAACCTTGGTTGTCCATTCCTCTTTGGTATCGGGCAATCACTGAGGTATCAATAATTTACACACTGCTGTTTTACCTATCCAGCTCCATACACTCAGTAAAAACAGACCTCCGATGCAATTTACACACGATATTTATATTCATAATATACTTTTACTTACATAGAAACAGCAATAACAATCATCTAATATTACTATGGTAATTTGATTGTCTGCTTGTATTAAACCATTTCCCTCAAGAATATAGTGCATGGAGCCAGCAGGTGGCGTGGTGGTTAAGGCCCACGGCCAACTGTGGTTCGAGTCCCAGACATGGGGCTTGCTTTTTCACTTTCTCCTCTCTCTCTTTCTCTCTCTCTCTTTCTGTGTCTCTCATCAAATTAAATGAATAAATAAATTAAAATAAATAAATGTTAAAAAAAGAATATGGTGCATCTCAACTACCTGCAGACTCCCTTATCAATAAAAGCAATGATGGGACCAGCAGTTAGCATAATGGCTATGTTGCTGGACTCCCACGTAGTCGACCGCAGTTCACATCCCAGACCCGGTGGCTTAAAACTCACGCTGGGCGCATGTGCGTGCATGCCCAAGATCCCGAGAGGAGAATGGAGGAGAAGGGACTGCAGTGTGGCCATCCCCCAGGGGGGTGATTTCTCACTTTCTGTCTCTGTCTGTCTGGTGAGCGCACGCGCCCTATAGCAAAAACTTCTTAAAAAAAAAAAAAGAAATAAAAGCAATGATATTTTCATGTATAATGTACATATACCTACACCTCCCTATGATTTATGTGCCACTTCCCTTCCCTTTCCTATTGAGTTACTGGTCTTGAAATAGCCTGTCTTCTTCTACCTAGTCTTGAAATAATGACTCTTATTCCCTGAACCCTCCCATAGTAGGTCTATACTGACCTCTCTGGAACAGATAGTTAGGCTTCTTCATGTTTTTTTTTTTTTATCCAAAGGGTGGCAGGGAGGAACAGCAGGTGGCATGGTGGTTAAGGTGCTGAACACTCCCACATAGCCAAACAGGATTCAAGTCCTGGACCTGGTGGCTTGCTTTCTCACTTTCCCTCTCTCTCTCACTCTGTCCCTCTCTAGTCAAATTAAAACAAATAAATAAATAAAGTTAAATAAAGTAATTATTTTTTTAAAAAATTAATGAATGAATGTATAAAATCAAATAAAATAATTCTTAAAAAAAAAAAACTCATTTTTTAAAGGGGAGAATACCTGCAGTGCTCTCTGACAAGGTCTCTTCCTCACTGCAATTGAAGGGACTTCACCTACATATTTCAAGGTGAGTTAGTTCAATGCTACCTAATATAGCTGAGTTAAACAAAATAAAATAAAGTCTCATGACAAAAACTTAATAAGGAAATGTTGGATCCCATGGTAGGGAAGAAAAACTCTCTGTAACTTTTTCATAAGAACATGCTATCCTTGGAGCCAGCAGGTGGTGTGGTGGTTAAGGTGCTGGACACTCCCACATGGCCGACCATGGTTCAAGTCCTGGACCTGGCAACTTGCTTTCTCACTTTCTCTGTCACTCTCTTTGGTCAAATGAAAATAAATGAATGAATAAATAAAATGAAATAAATAATTAAAAAAAAAAAAAAAGAACATGCTATCCTGTAACTTCAAGCTAACTTTCCACTCCACTTTCCCTTTATTCCACTTTAAGGTATGGGTATGAAAGAGGAATAGGAAATGTCTGGGAAGAGTACTCACCATTACTGCCAATTGCCTGTAGGCCTTCTTCAGTTCAACATCTGATGCTGTGGCTTCAACCCCCAGCACATGGAAAGGGTTTAGCTCATCCTCAGAAACCCCAGCCATGGTCAAAAGCCGAGCCACTTCCTCTTCAGGCTGGCAGTAGCGTCCACCAGCAATAGGTGCACTCCCTTGCCTATCAGTCCTCTGCTTGACCCAAGGCAATTCTAGCCAACTCCACTGAACTATCCTTACCAGCTGCTGCCATGGCCTGCTATCTCTCAACAGAGTCAAGCAATGATGCAGGGCCGGAGAATCCAGACAAGAGAAGAGCCGGGTGGCCTTATCCCTCCAGCCTAACTGGTCGCCCAGTCCCACCAGAAACCGCCAGCCCAACTGTAGACAGCCCAGAAAGAGGGCCAGAGCCAGAAGCAGCAAAGCACCCAGTAGCCTAAGAAAACGGGTGAAAAGCCCTGCCCCGTTGTAAAATCCCTGGCTTAGAAAGTGGAGCATCACCTGGGCCCAGTTCCCCAGTCGCCCTATCCAGACTCCCACCCAAACTCGAAAAAGGTCCAGATCACTGCCTTTCAGTTGCCTGCATGCATAGATGAGATGGCCACAAGTTTCCACATACTCTCCCACCAATACCAGCAGTTCAATCAGCCACCAAAAGCCTGCCTGTCCAAGCTGACATAGTTCCTCTGCTCCCCACAATCCCAGGCCTCTGCGCTTATTTGCCTGACTTCTTTTCCGGCCCAGGCGATGTCGACCAGGGGACCTGGGATCCCTACGTCCACCCTCCCGAGTATCCTCCTTGGTTGGAAGGCGGTGCCGCTGTCTCCGACATGGGGCTTTCTTTCCACTGGACACACGTGAAAAGTCACTGGAGAATTTAAGTGGTTCCTCATCATCATATTCCTCTTCCATTTCATCTTCCCCCAAGGCTGGAGAGGTAATATGGTGGCAAAAGCTGCTAGAAGAGCCATCTCCTCCCTCAGAATAAGGCCCTTCAGGAATTCCAGAGGTTCCCTGGCAGTTGCAAGCAGATGGAATGGAAAGAAAAGATGGGTTCCCTTCTTTTTGGTACCCAACCTCATTCTCTCTTGAGAGTTCCTGATCCACTCCTGACTCTTCTTCGGAAGACGCCTCACTCTGATCAGGGTCCTCTTCATCCTTAGGTGGTCCTGGACCCCTTGGGGGACCATGGCTTGGATCTGCCCAGTGGGCTGGGTTTGGACGTTGTGTATACTTAGTATGCTCTGTGAGGCAGCGGGTACCATTAGGAGCAGTCCCTGCTGAGTCCCTGAGTCCTGAGAATGGAAATATTTCAGGGTCCACGGAGGGCCCTAAAGTCCTGAGGGAGGCACCACTACCTTGGTGGGCTCCATACAACCCTCTTTCTCCGGGGTGCTTCTGGGCCATGACCCCAGAGCTTCCTGAGAGTTTTAGGTCACAGCCATCATGGTAAGTTCTGAAGCCTGTAATAGATATCAAGGAGAAGATAGTCAAAGAGAAGACCAAGCAAAGAGTTAAATACCCCTAATTAGGGGTATATTACCCACCTCCCTTGTTTTCCCAAGTTGCTCTGGGCCCTTCACTATCCCTACCATTAAGCTAGACTTAGACTAACCACAACCCAGCTTGCTCCCTCCCCTTCCTCCAAATCGCCTTAGTTTTTCCTTCTTTCCCCAGAAAGCTATCTACTTCAATCAGGGAAAGGGAAGATACCGCAAAAGGTGTGTGCGGAGAGAGGGGTTTTTTGGAGGTTTTGCTATGGAGAAGGAAAGACAGAAAGCGAGAAATCACCCCCCCAGGGGGAATGGCCACGCTGCAATCCCTTTTCCTCCATTCTCCTCTCGGGATCCTGGGCACGCACACACGCCCGGCTTGAGTTTAAGCCACCGCGTCCGGGACTCAAACCGCGATCGACTACATGGGAGTCCAGCGACACAGCCATTACGCCAACTGCTGGTCCCATGGGGGGAGTCACTCTTAGAGAAAAGGGAAAGACATACGGAAAGGGGGGCCGCAGATTGCCCAAAATAAAGGTGGGGACCATATGGCCCTTAAAGAAAACCTGGAGTCGGGCCGGAGTGATTTCTCGCTGTCTGTCTGTCTCCGTCTTTCCGGCGAGCCCACGCACCCTACAGCAAAAACCTCTTAAAAAAAAAAAAAAGGAAGAAGAAGTGGCAAAGGTAACGAACCGAAGGGCGGTGGTAACTCCTCCCCCTAGAACCTCCTCCCCCTAGAGCAGCTGGGCCTCGGGCCAGGGGGAGCTACGAGAGCAGCTCCCCCGGCTCCGCCTCCCGCTCACGCTCTGCTTCCGCCTTTCGTCCCCGCCGTAGCCGCCAGCCTGAGCCTGTTTCCACTTCCGGGGTCACCGGAGAAGAGACGGGAAGGAAAAGAAAAAGCGGTTGGTGCAGGCGCGAGAGTCAAATTGGAGGAGGCGGTCCTAAGGGAGCGCTGGCCCCACCCCTTAAAGGGCCCTCTGCTGCTGCCTTCTGCGCTTTGGAATAGGATCTCTACAAGTTGCACCATTAGAAGTGAAACATGGGCTCCATAGCATTGCCTACGCATTGAGGACAGACTGTTAGGGTTGCTTTGACAATATTCCTGGCCTTTGGCAAGACTAGAAGATGGAGAACAGCTACTGAGCCACCCATAGTCTGTGTCCCTTACAGACGAAACCGGAGAGCTCAGAATAGCCACTGCCCTTCCCTGTTAGCCTCAAATGAGTACAGAGGCCCTTTTGTATTCGGGGAGGTGGAGCGAAGAAGAGGATGCCCCAGGATAGCCCCCGCCCTGGCCTCTCAGCGCCAACTCTCCTTTCCCAGCAATCCTCGGCCTCCCGGCGCCTGACCCAGCTGGCGAGCTGCCTTACAACTGCAGCTCCCACGGCCCAGATCCGTCCCTCAGGACGCAACTCCCAGGCTCGGTTACGGATCGGGGCCGGGGAAAGGGAGCCTAACTAGGCTGGGCTCAGAATTTTAGCCAAGTGCCAAAGAACAATGCATTTGGCCGCGTGCTGCTTTGCATCTCATTTGCATTCCTAGCCATTCGGTCCCTGCCCCCACGCCGACCCTGCTGGGTTCCTTGTCAGTCCATCTCGCTTTTGAACACTCTAGCCTCACCGCGCTCCTTTCCACGTCCCTTCCAGAACCCATCTTGTTGTGCAAGTTTTTCCACCCATGAATCCCCCGCCAGCACCCATAGAGCAGTAAAAGCCCCTTCCTCAGGTCTTGGATCCCGACCACCCAGTTTTCTAGAAGACAATACTCCAATTCTCTGGGAAGTGGAAGAAACCAAGCTGGAGCCGGGGGGCGCTGAGACCCCAGTTAGGGCTTTGAGAACTTTGAGTGGCCGAGTCATCTCCTAAGTATTCAGAGATCTTTCTCCAGATCTCTTGTAGTGCTCCCCTAAGGCCCTTTCCCACTATGTCCAGGGATCTCTAGTCCTGGGCTAGATCAAAAGGCAACCTGGGTTCCCCCACACATAGGAGAAAGCGTTGGAGGGTCCCGCCCCGTGATGTCACTCCACCCCCTACACACACACACACACACACACACACACACACACACACCGTCCCCTTCCTCCACCCCGCAAGCTAGTTGCATTTAGCTCACGGGGCTCGGACCACGACTTGTAAGAGTTTGGGGGCCAAGAAAGAGAGTGGCTCTGGGGATGCCAACGCTGGACAGCTGCCCCGGCGCCTAGGACCTCTGGGTGGGGATGCTGCTGGGGGTCTAGGAAAGCGTTTCCATCTCCTCTTGTCCTCAGCCCTGGCAGGGTGGTGAGTAGTTAACACCCTTCCCCAAACTCTCCTTGTTTAGCGTCCCCTTGTTTCCTAAGCGTATTGAGGAAAAGAGCCCCAGGAATTCTCCAAGCCAGCCCTCCAGCCTGGTGGGACCTTTATGTCCAAAAGATAGCTGAAGGAAAGTGCCTGCGTCCAGACACCCCACTTCCACAGTACCCAAATGCCAGCCCCTCCTTGGTGTTCTCCTTCCAAAACCGGAATTCAAATCCCGTGGCAGTCCTGACACCCCTAGGGGAAACAGTGGTGGGGAAAGTGCCACCAGTCTCCTGAGGGGAGGAGCAAGTGGCTACCTCGATGTGAGATGTATCTGGGCAAGATGCCTGCTTATTCCATAAGTGATTGTGGGATTTGCACTGTAGCTGGACACCCCTTACTCCAACAACTCCATCTCAGTGTGAAGTGGTGGTGTCAAGACCTGACGAACTGTAGTGACTGGCTTTAATTTATGCCTTGTCCTTAACTATGTTGGCATCTGTTTTTTTTCCCTCTTTCTTCCCTGAGATTGAAGCAGCTGTCAGGAGACCCCACCATGACTCATTCTCTCCTTTTTCTCCTCCCTCTCCCCTCTCTACTAGCCTGGCCCTTCCCAATGCAGTGGGGGTAGTACTCAATCTTAGCTGCAGATGGGGCAAACTTTCTTCTCATTTGGTACAGGCTGCTGGGCCATGGGTCCCATTGGTGTCACATGCCCCTCCCTTCATAGACCCAGGACTTTTTACTCCCATCCTCACCCTGGAAAACAGGGCAAAGTTTCACTGTCTTACGAGCTTCTCATTTGTTTAAGTTTTACTTAGTGTCCCTGTTTCAGAGGACGGTAGAGATATCCCGCTGCCCTCAGCCCACTCCTGCAGACTTCTTTACTTATCCCGACCAGACCAAATTCCCTCCTGAAATCAGCCATTCTGCAAACAAAATAGAGGCATGGAGTTCTAGAGATTCATGGGTACCCGATTCCTTGCAGGTTTCCCAGCCCCCTCAGGACATTCATGGATGGATGAGAGCAGCTGACACTGACCTTCCACTCGTTACCACCTTCTCTTTGACCATGGAGGAAGCCTTGTTGCCCCTGGCTGTGACATCTGACCCCAGGCTCTTTAATCAACAACTTCCAGAGCCTCCAGACCCAAGATGCGTCTTGGAACCTCAGGACAGTCCTGAACTGGCACCCGCTCTGGTGTGTGCCCTTTGCTGCTGCTTTGGAATCGTCTACTGCTGCTTTGGTGAGAGCAGAACTGAGGTCCTGGGGAGGCACCTGCCCAAAACTGTCACCCTCAAGGATGATGCCAACTTTCTTCCTCGCTCCTGGGCTACCTCGCTTCCTCTACCATGGGATGCCTACCTTCAGTGTGGCCCAGGCTGCTCTTGCCAGATTGTGTCCCATGTGCCCATGCCCTCTAACTCTGACCTCTGACATCTAGCGTTTGCCTCCTCTTGCCTCCCACCTCAAAACTGCACTCCCAAATTATCCTCCAGGCTTAAGGCTTCTTCACCCTCCCCCAAGACTCTGCATTAGCCTGTGCTGAAATGTTTCCATCTGCCATCCCTGGAAGGACTACTTTTTGTACTTAGCTCCCCTCAAGGCATCTATCTTACCTGCCGGTTTTCCCTCCCTGCCCTCCACAGTTCTGAACCACCACTATCACTCCCAACCTGCCCTGTGTTTTTTTTCTTCTTGGTCCCTTACTCTGAGATCCCTTGGTATGCAGCTCCAATCTTCTGCTCCTCTGGGTAGCCCTTTCTCTCCTTTCTAATTCATCAGAACCAAGATGTGCACTGTCTTCCTGCCTCTCATGCCTCCTGCCTCCCTTCCCAGGCTACCGCTGCTTCAAGGCAGTGATGTTTCTCTCGGGCCTGCTGTCAGGAGCTCTGGTGATCTTCCTGCTGTGCCACAAGGAGCGGGTGCTGGAGACACAGCTGAGCCTGGAGGTGAGCGCGGGCATCGCGCTGGGCATCGGACTCCTCTGCGGCCTTGTCACCATGCTGGTTCGCAGTGTTGGGCTCTTCCTGACTGGTCTCCTGCTAGGACTGACCCTGGGCACCGGGGCCCTCCTGGGTACTGAGCCCATCTACCAACCACCTTCAGCTTGGGTGCCTGCCGGGGGACTGGTGGGGCTGGCACTGCTGGGAGCCCTGCTCACACTTCGGTGGCCACGTCCATTCACAGTTTTGGGCACAGCCCTGCTGGGTGCTGCAGTGCTGGTGGCCTGTGCTGACTACTTCCTGGAGGGGCTGGCACTGGGCAGTCGGCTGGGCCAACGCTTGCAGGCACTTCCAGCCTTGCCTCCTCTCTGCTGGTATAGCTGGGTCTTACTGGGGACCTGGCCAGCCCTTGGGGCCCTTGGGGCCCTGGCCCAGTGGAAGCTCATGGCTGAGGAACATGGAGGCCACGCCAATGGTGAGTTAGTACTATGGTACAGAAGCAGCCAACCTGTGTTTATTCGTGTCCCCACTCCCCAGACTTGAGACAGGAAAGAGGAGAAATACATTCAAGGGAGGAGGGCCATGGAGGAGGTCCAAGGTGAATAGGGCAGAGCATTAAAAGAAATTTAGAGTTGAAGGAGTCAGAGGGGGTTTGGGTAAGAAAGAAAAGAGAGGGACCAGCAGATGATGTAATGGTTATGTTGCTGGACTTCCACATAGTCAACTGTGGTTCAAGTCCCAGACCCAGCAGCTTAAAACCCACACTAGTTCCCTGTGCATGTGTGCCCAAAATCCCAAGAGGAGAATGGAGAAGGGATTATGGTGTGGCCATCCCCCTGAGGGGTGATTTCTCACTTTCTGTCTCTCTGTTTCTCTCTGTCTCTGATGAGCGCACACACCCTATAGGAAAAAAAAAAAACCTCTCTAAAAAAAAGATAAAGGAAGTAGGAGTTATTGAGGATTGTGATGGATAGAAAGGAAGATATCAAGGAAGTCCAGGAGGAAAGAGTAAGAGAATTCCAAATAAGAGTTTCTTTTAGAATAACTGGAGGAGAGAAAAAAAAAAAGAATAACTGGAGGAAAACTAATAAGGCTTCAGAAAACCATGACAGAAGTCAGAGGGCTTTCTCTAGAGTGTGTGTTTGGGAGTGGGATTCAGGGTCTAAAGAGGCTTCCTTGAGTCTGTATTGCCCCCTCTTAAGCAGTGGTCTTGAGCCACCAGCGAAGGCATCTCCAGCTCCTTCGGATCCGTCAGCAAGAGGCCAAGTGGCACCGGACCCCATCTGGGCTGGGACTTTGTGAGGGCAGCTATCGACGCCATCTTCCCCCCAACACCCGGAGCCCTGCTGACAGTCTGGCTCCAGTGAGTAGGAAAGACCGGGCACCCTGGGGGCAAGGGGCAGAGGGCATATGTGGATGGTCAGGGTAGAAGGGGGTCTCTGACCTCGGCCCCTCCTTCTGCCCTCTCTGCCCTGTGCCCCTCCAGAGTTATCTTCAGAGTCTTCGAGAACGCCAGCTGGGACCAGGCACACAGGCCACAGCCCCTCAGACCGTCCTAGACCTGGATTCTGACTGTGGTTCCACTGTACCCCTCACCACACCCTGTAGTTCCACTCAGACCTGAGCCTAAACCTGAACTGATGCCCCCATCCCTAGTGAGAGACTAGGAGAGAGACTAGTGGCAAGGCCTGAGCCCACAGGGCCCATATGCAAATTTCCCCACCTCTTGGACTTAGGGAATAGAATCTGTGTTCTATCTCAAACCAGTCCTGTAGGATATGTTTAGGGATAAAGAGGAATTTTGTGGGGAGGGAGAAGATGAGAAGTATGAGTTCCTACCTCTGTCCACTAATAGAGGTACCTTGGTTCCCAAAGAAACTGACTCCCTAGTTCCCTCCAAACCAAGGAGAGCCCTTATCCAAATAGGCATTTAAATGTCTGCCTCCAGTGTGCCTCACAATGGTAAATAAGGGGTTTGGTTTTGTAGGACCTACGGGAAACCAGGGAGTCTCCTGTGGCATCTGATGGGAAGTAGGGAAGAGGAGCTCCAGGAGCTCCTAACCCGCAAGCCCTTCTTTAGAGTCACCTGGGTTTCTGGGTGGCTTTTCCCCCTGGACACCTAGGCTTCAGCCCCTTCTTCCTACCTCACTATCCTCCGTGGTGCCTCCTCTTCTCCCTTTCTCAACCTGGGGAGGATCACATGGCAGTGTCTGCCTCAAACCTGCCTTCTCCAAAAGCTGGCGTCTTGCCCTAAGGAGAAAACATTGGCCCACATGCCAGAGTCTTGCCCCTTTGCCCAAAGGAGCCTAGTCTTTGGGGCTGCGTGGGAGATAAGTGCCTTCTCTGCCTCTCACTGTGGGTAATATTAAATTGCCACGTTAACTAGAACTTTTTTCCCACCACTAACCCATTCTAACTCTTACCCCCTCTGACTCTCCTGCCCAAGGTCTGTTCCATGGGTCCCCAGACAGATAAAAGAAGATTTATCTCTTCCCTGCACAGCAAGCCTGTGGTGGGAGGGAGGAAGAACTTGGGAACATGTGAATAAAATGGCATTAAATACTGAACCAGGGAGTCTGGCCTCTACTGTTGCTGCCTTTCCTTTCTCTGCACCTCAGAACAAAGAACCATATTGATAAAGCCCCTGTCTCCTAAAGACCTGATAGGGATACCCCTGTCAGACAACCATAGGAGCTGCACACCCAGACAGCTTGACAGGGGAAGAGCTGTTCAGTCTTCTCTTATGAACAGAGAATTAGCATTCATTAAACACACATGCGTCAGGCACATCACACATAGTTTTTCACTGAGACAACCCCGCAAAATCGCTACTAAACTTATTTCACAAGTGGAGAATCCAAAATTCAATGAGGTTAATTAGCTTGCCCAAAGTCATAAGCAAACAAATGTGATTTTTTTTAAAAAAAATTATTTATTTAATTTTATTTATTATTATTTTTTATTTGACTAGAAAGAGAGAAAGGGAAAGTGAGAAAACACGCTGCCAGATCTAGAACTTGAACCATGGTTGGCCATGTGGGAGTTCAGCATCTAAACCACTACACCACCTGCTGGTACCATTATTTTATTATTTTTAATTGCCAGAGGGTGTGTACACTTATGAGAGAGAGAGAGAGATAAAGCATTTCCTACTTGGTAGTAGTCATGCCACAATCCCTTCTCCTCCATTTCTGCATCCTCTTGGGATTTTATGTACACACAAATACACACACACACACACACACACACACACACACCTAGTTTTTTTTTCAAGTCACCAAGACTGGTATTCAAACCATGGTAGTAACCGCGGTCGACTACGTGGGAGTCCAGCAACATAGCCATTACGCTAACTGCTGGTTCCCTGATTTTTGAGATTCCAGAACCCTTGTTCATTGTACTGGGTGTACTGTTTTCTTGTACTTTATCTAGGGAGAACAGGTCCCAGGTATCCAGCCTCTTCAGCTGTTGCCTCCTGTCAGCTAAAGGCCCAATTGATGCCTCCCACCACCATTGTCTTCCAGAAAGTAGGTAGTGCAGTTGGAAGTGCTATGTAGTACTGGAAGGAAATGAATGGAATTGGGGGCTGAGGCAAAGTAGGGGAGCAAAAGAACACAGGAGGAGAGTAGCTAGCACTGGAACTTTCAGAGGCTTGAGGTCTATGGTTTATGTCCCTGCTATTGTTCCTGAGTATTCTTTTTTTTTTTTAAGAATTATTTTAACTTTATTTATATATTTATTTGTTTCTTTCTTTTAATTTGACCAGAAAGGGGCAGAATAAGAGAGAGAAAGGGAAAATGGGAAAGCAAGCCGCCAGGTCCAGGACTCAAACCACAGTCAGCCTTGTAGGAGTCCAGAGCCCTTAACCACCCTGTCACCTGCCGACCCCGTTCCTGTGTATTTCAAGTGCCATGTCTAGGCCTTGGTTCAGACCTTAGGCCTCTGGGAGGGTGACATTAGCAGGAAATGAGGGAGTGGTAGAGCCTGTGGCTTGGGGGGTAATGTCCATGACTGTGGGTGAGCTGTTAGTGCTCAAGGTTGTGTATTTGGCCGAGGGAGTGGTATCCAGTTTTGTGCCTGCGGTGAAGGCCATAATGTCCCCACTTGACGGGGTAGTGTTTGGGATCCGGGAACGACAATGCATCCAATTGTGGGCAATATTTCTGGGATAGCCTTTCTCTACTCGAAGCTGCCGGTTGAGGCGCCAGTATTTTTCACCCTTGAAGAAGTAGACTCTGCCATCCCGCCAACTCATAGCAGCAGAGAGCTGGTCTGGCACTCCCGTAAACAACCCCTTGATTGGCTTGGGGTAGTGGCTGAAGTCAGTTCTGGCCAGCTCGTCCCACTGCCAGTACCCGGAGCCCTGGATATGGGGTAGGTGGGGAGAAGAGGAGGATGAAGAGAGAGCTTTGAGACCCCTAGAGGTCTACCCTGAGCTCACTGCAGTTGCAGATCTCTCTTCAAAAGTATGTCTTTGTCAGTATGATAGAGCCCAAACCTCGTAAGAAAGGATTTGCCCTTACTTTGAATTTTATACCTTAAAGAGGAACACCTTTTGGTTGAGAGGCCAGTAGAGAGCTGCGTCCAGATTGCGTCCTACCCCATTCAGTTTCTTAGGGAAGCCAGGAGCCATCTTGAAGTTAATATAGCACCACACCTTGTCTCCTGAGACCAAGTGAGGAAAGAACAAGTCACTTCCATCTTCAAGTGATGGCTTTTGGTTCCTCTAGTCCATACTTTCAGAAACTTCTCTTCTTTCTTCCTTTAATGGTATTTTTTAGACTAGACTCTCTTCAGGTAAGACACTGTAACTAGCCCCCTTACCTTTAAAGAAGTAAATCAATTGTGTTCGAGGAGAGTAGACAGCAGCATCCAGGTTTCCTGGGAGACCTTCCCAAAGAGCAGACACTCGGAACAAGGGGCCCAGCCCTGAGTCTGTCACAGTCCATACATAGTCCCCCTTGAAGGCATAGGTCTTCTCACGGGGTCCTAAGAGCAAAGGTGTGTCAATAAGTCAAAAAGAAAGGGATCAAGTGGACAGAAGCTTGTGGGTGTCTCAAACAAGCTGATAATTTTCCCTCCTCCCACAGACTGATTCTTCAAAAATTCACTCAACTTTAATTCAAGTAGAAAACTAAAGGCAAAGAAGGAAGACCATGGGGCCAGCAGATGGTATAGTAGTTAAGGTGCTGGACTCCCACATGGCCAACCATGGTTTGAGTCCTGGACCCGGTGGCTTACTTTCTCATTTTACCTCTCTCTCTCTCTCTCTCTCTCTCTCTCTCTCTCTCTCTCTCACTGGCCAAAGAATAATAATAAAAATAAACGATTATTTTAAAAAGAAAAGAAGAAGACTTAAAAAAAAAAATAGGAGGAGGAAGACCCAGTGCTCAGTCTCTCCTTTGTTATTCAGGACATTTAAGCTCTGCAGATAGTAGTTTCTACTTGGGAACTACCTCAGCCTGTACTCCAAGTGGCTTCCCAATTGTCCTTCCAACCACATGGAACACCCTCTCTCATAAGCATTCTAGTTAATATCATTTTTACCACCTTGCTGTGTTTTCAGATGTGTTTTAGTGGCACTCATAGGGCAGCAACTTTGATATAATGCCTGCCTGGCCCACATTTAATTTGACTCTGAGCCTTCCCACTCCATACCACGTGTCTCCTTCCCTGGTCAGCAATCCCCATCGAAGGTCTAACCTCCATTGCTCATGTTGAAGTCCCTGTCATTCCCATTTGTCCAGTCCTCAGGGTCAGCAGACTGCCCTATTATGTACCTAAGCCTGGAGGGGAAGGGCCTCACCCAGCATCATGGCATCCACTTCGCCACTGCAGGGGTCTGGCATGGGACTTGGTTTGGTGGGCACTAAGGGTACAGTGGACAATTCCATCTCATCTTCTTCATCTTTTCTCTCTGGGTTCTTCTTGCCTGCAAGGCAAAGTAGCGTTGCTTAGAAAACTCATAGCACCCATCTACTGCAAGTTCCTCTCTGCTCTCTGGCCCCTAAGGAGGTCCCCATAAGGAAGGGAAAAGAGGGAACCAGCAGTTAGCGTAATGGCTATGTCGCTGGACTCCCACATAGTCGACTGCGGTTCGCGTCCTGGACTCGGTGGCTTAAAACCCACGCCGGGTGCGTGTGCTTGCGTGCCCAAGACCCCGAGAGGAGAATGGAGAAGAAGGGATTGTGGCGTGGCCATCCCTTCTGGGGGGTGATTTCTTGCTTTCTGTCTCTCTGTCTCTCTCTGTCTGTCTGGCAAGCGCACGCGCCCTATAGTGAAAAACCTCTAAAAAAAAAAAGAAGGGAAAAGAGAACCCTATGGAGTTTCCTTTGGTGGGAGGCAATGTCATATTCATATCAGCAGGAGACACATTTGGGATTTTTGTTTTTGTTTTTCAGTTTGATATAGGTCATGTGCACTTGCCAGAGACAGGAAAAGTGAGAAAGCATCACCCCGTGGAGGATGGCCACATTGCAATCCCTTCCCCTCTATGAATTTGGGAATTTGGGGCACACATGCACATGTGCCCAGCATGTTTTGCAAGACACCAGGTCCAGGACTCAAACCATGCAGACAGTCCTGTTGGATTCAGCTGCTTAACCACATGCCACTGACATAGTTAATTTTCAAAGCCCCAGAAAGTGGAAGAAAGTTTGCCAGAAGTGTATTCTCCATCTCCAAGAATAGGCATGGGGGACAGAGGCCTAGAAGAAATATCAGATATGGATGAGTCAGAGAGAAACAGTTCCTGGAGACCAGCAGATGTCATAATGGTTACGTCACCAGACTCCCACGTAGTCAACCACAGTTCAAGTCCCAGACTCGGTGGCTTAAAACTCACGCTGGGCTTGTGTGTATGCGTGCCCAAAATCCTGAGGAGAAAATGGAAGAGAAAGGATTGCAGTGCAGCTATACCCCCCTGAGGGGTGATTTCTCATTTTTTGTCTCTCTGTCTCTCCAGTGAGCATCCATGCCCTATAACAAAAATCTCTCTAAAAAAGAAAAAAAAAATAGGGACCAACAGATGGTGTAACGGCTATGTCGCTGGACTCCCATGTAGTCTACCATGGTTCAAGTCCTGGACCCAGTGGTTTAAACATGCTGAGCACATGTGCTTGCATGCCCAAGATCCCAAGAGGAGAATGGAGGAGAAGGGATTGCGGTGTGGCTATTCTCACTGGACAGTGATTTCTCGCTTTCGGTCTGTCTGTCTCTCTCCGTCTTTCTGGTGAGCACATGCGCTCTATAGCAAAAACCTTTCAAAAAAGAAGAAAGAAAGAAAGAGAAAAAAAGAAGAAGAAACCAGAATAACTTGGAGAGACAAAGAAGTCAAGTAATATTCCTCCATGAAGGCTAGACCCATCTCTTCAAGCCTAAAGAGATACTGGTCATACCCACCCTTACACTCACTAGGGAGAAGGACTGACCATAGAGAGCCTGAATCCCTGCCACATCATCTGGGTGCAGCTTGAAGCGAGGCCGGTAGCCAGCATAGACAGGGGCCATGAGGGCCTGGGTGTATCGAGAGTGCCCAAGTCCAAGGGCATGGCCCAGTTCGTGGGCTGCAATGATGCGCAGGTTCACCCCCCGGTAGGTTCCCTCTGTCCAGAGTTCATCTTCATCGAAGTGCACACTGCCCAACTCTGGGATGTCAGCATGGGCCAGGACTCTTCCTAAACAAAGGCAAAGGTGAACAGGAAGTAGGTCAGACCCCACTGGGCTGGCACACACCCTGCCTGTGATAAACTCTAATTACTCTATCCCCTCAGAATTCCTGCAGCTATATTCACTGTCCCCTGGATACTTCTTTCTTTCCTTTTAGATTATTCTATCATGAGCCAGTTCTTTCAGGAATGGGAATGCCCATCACTGTTCCTGTGCCTCCCAACCATCTCTGCTCTCTGGCCCAGTCCTCTCTGGAGTATGCCTTCAGTAGAGAGGAACTTAAGCAAGGGAAGGAGGCAAAGCTTTAAAGAGGAGCCTTAGTCAGGCCCCAGGTAGGCAACCGGCTGCTTTTCTAAGGAAAGTCAGGTGGTTTTAGAAAGAGGGGACCAGCAATTAACGTAATGGCTATGTCGCTGAACTCCCATGTAGCCAGCCGCGGTTCGAGTCCCGGACCCAGTGGCTTAAACTCACACCGGACACGTGTGCGTGTGTGCCCAAGATCCCAAGAGGAGAATGGCGGAGAAGGGATTGCTGCGTGGCCATCCCCCCTGGGGAGTGATTTCTCACTTTCTGTCTCTCTGTCTCTCTTTCTGGTGAGAGCACATGCCCTATAGCAAAAACCTCTTCAAAAAGAAAAGAAAGAAAAGAAAGGGCAGCATGCTGGTGAGCATAAAGGGAAGCCTGAACACTAAGCTTTCACAGTTACTGGCAGAGAGGGAGGTCATCTCAGAGGTCTAAGAGGTGAGAGTAGAGGACTGGTGCCTACCAGGCCCATCAAAGGTATTGGAGCAGTAGGGGCTTTGGCGGCCATGGAAGGAAAGACGAATGTCAGCCCAGCCAGCCTGCACCTCCCGGAAAGTCAGGGGGGCCACATTTCTCCAGTACTGGAAGGCTTGAAGCAGGGCTGCCCTGGCTATGTCAGATGGAAGGGTGGAGGGCAGGTTTAAGATGCGGAAGGTCAGGTGCTTCTTTCTCCAGCGGCCTGCAAAATGGACCACAAAATAAATTAGAATCATAAATCCTTCTGCCAACTCCAACAAGCTCTCCTAGGTCTGGGTACTCAAACGCCTCCGGGCAGGTGATAGCCAGGTAATTATTCATTCAACACTGAGCTGATCCCAACTGCCCTGATGCCACCCACACTAAAGAAGCATACCATTCCTTCTTTTCCCTCCCTTTCCTGGGCTCAGTCCTCACCCAGTAACAGGTATTTAAGAGTTTTCTGGTTGAAGGGGTCCTCCAAGCCACAACGCGGCTGTCTCATGCGGGCCCTTGTGGTGACGTCCAGCTGACCTGAGACTGGCAGCTCTGATGCTTCCTGAAAAACTCTGGAAAGAGGGAGTGGGATGGGTTCACCCGAGTGGGAGAATCTTGAATGACTGAGAACTACAGATAGCTCTTTGACCTCTTGCTGCCCAAGGTGATGGCCAAGAGTGACACAAAATCCCTGAAGCGGACAGGGTCATGCCAGCCTCCAGGCCTCATAACTGGGACTTTCTCTTCTGTTCCACAGAAACGGTGGTACTTCAATTTCATCTCCACATTTTCTGTCTCCTTTATGTAAGTAAGATTGCCTTCAAGTATAGCCCTCCTCTCCTACTGCAACTTTCTGCTCTGGGGAGCTGTCCAGCCTACCCTACTCTGGAATTCTCCCATCTGAGGGCCTATCCTCCCTGAGGCTTCTGCCCTCCTGGCTGGCCCCCAGTTCCAGCCCAGCCTGCACTGAACAAGTTCACCTACCTGTGGACTATCATAAATACTATGGGCTTCTTCAAGGGACCTAAACATGTAGGCAGAAATAAAAGTAGTTTATTACATCCAAAATACAAAAGGAGACTACAAGATTGAAATAAATAAATGCTAAATTAAATGACCACCAAAGGGAGCAGCAGGTGGCATGGTGGTTGAAGTGCTGGATTCCACATGGCCTACAGTGGCTCGAGTTCTGGATCTGGTGGCTTGCTTTCTCACTTTCCTTCTCTCTTTCTCTGTCTCTCTCTGGTCAAAAATATTAAAGTAATAATAAATAATAATAATTACTTAATTAAATTTTAAATAAATAAATGACCATAAAAAGTAACATCATGTCAACAACTCAACTCCAATGCAGCTCATAGTTTTACACATAAATTATATGTGTTGTAAATGTTCACATTTTGAATATCATGTGAAACAGACTTCAAAGGACAGCTTAGGGCACAGGAAAATCCAATGACTATGTTCATCTCTGAATCCTATCTCACCCCATGCTCCACCACCCTAACAATGAAAGCACCCACCCTCCAGATCTCTGATATGGATTTGGGTGAGTCAGAGATGAGCCTGGAGAGACGAAGAGATGAGAAGAGGGAAGCAGATCCTGCAACCTCGGCTCTGAAAGCATATGCCTTATGAGTTCTCACCTCAGAGCCTCTGTGATATCTTCGGGGCTAAAGTCAGCAGATCCTTCTAGAGGCTTCTGAAGGTACCCATATTGCAACAGGTAATCCTGCAAGTGGAGATAAGCAGGGTAAAAACGGGGATTAATCTCAGGATAAACCTTCTAAGTGACCTAACAGGCCCATCACAAGAGGAGGGGACAGATATGGAAGGACTAAAAGAGAAGCAGCTTAGAGAAAGGGCTCAAATGGACAAGGGGAAAGAGGAGGAGATGGGCAGGGTAGACCGTGGAATACAGGAAGGAAGGGAAAGGCAGGCCGAGTGAAGGTCAGGAGTGAGGCTTGGATGGACTACAGAGTAACAACCCTGTTCCCCCCCTGGCCTGGGTCCCTCTTTCCCAGGGGACTCACCACAGCTGCCTCTTTCTCTCCAGGCCCCAGGGGTCGGCCTGAGATTGTCATGGGGAGTAGGAAGCCCAGCCATAGCTGCTGCCAGTTCATGGTCTTACCAGACAAGAGCTCCAAAAGGCTGTCTGTGCCCTCTGACCTGAGATTTCTGGAAGCCTAGGAGAGCACAGCTAGGCAGAGGGCGCTTACCTCAATTCTGTTAGCTCTCCAGCCTCTGGTCTCTTTATAAAACTTCAACTGTAGGGAATTGGGGGGAGTGGCAGTGGGAGGTGACTCAGCCCAGAGATATGTTGCAATTCATCATTAACCCCTGCCCTACCAGACAGCGGAAACCAAGAAGGGCCTCTAACCCCCTTCGCCAGAATCCTCTGCTGGAGACTTTCAACACAGCTCTTGGTGGGTATCTTGACAGGATAAGAAACAGAATCTGTAGAGACTAGGAATAGGGACCCTGAACATCCCCTAAAGTTGGACATTCTTGTGTCCCAGAGACTCTGGTCTAGAAAATCTTTCAGCTTCAGCGTTCAAGTCTCCCTATCGGCTCTAGGATAGGAGAAAAATAATAAAAGAGGTAGGAGGCAGAGTTGGCCCCTTGGCCTAGTGGTTAAGGGAGCCAGACCCCACATAGCCAACCACTGTTCCAATTTCAACCTACTGTCTTGAAAAACATGCCAGCAGATGTAAGTGCATGCCCCAGATTCAGACAGGATAAAGAAATGGAAGACATGAGATTGCTTCATGACCATGTTCCATTGAGAGTTGCTTTCTTCCTTTTCCTCTCTTTCTCTGTCTGTCTCTCTCTAGCCAGTACATGCACTCTCTGGAAATTGCAAATAAAAAAAAATAAAAAAAAAAAAAGAGGTAGGAAGCAACCAAGGTAGCTTGGTTCTTAGGTGGAATCAAAGGTGAAGTCTCTGTCAGTTTCTTTGCACCCAAGACCAGGTTGGGAATTTAAATGTTCTTAAAGCCTACCTATGTCTCTCTCTCTCTCTTGTTTTTTTTTTTTTTTTGAGAGATTTTTTTGCTATAGGGCACATGCACTTGACAGAGAGGAACAGAGACAGAAAGAAAAAGCAAGAAATCACCTCCTCTAGGAGAATGGCCACACTGCAATCCCTTCTCCATTCTCCTCTCAGGATTTTGGGCACACACACACTCATGCCCAGCGTGAGTTTCAAGCCACCAGGTTTGGGACTCGAACCACGGTTAACTATGGGGGAGTCCAGTGATGTAACCATTACAACATCTGCTGGTTCCACTTATGTCTGTTTTTATAAAAAGTCACTATTGCGGCCAGCAGATGGCATAACGGTTGCATTTCTGGACTCGCATATGGCCGACCATGGTTCAAGTCCTGGACCCAGTGATGAAACTCACACCAGGCACATGTGCCTGCGTGCCCAGGATCTAGGGAGGAGACTGGAGGAGAAGAAATTGTGGCATGCCCATGACCCTCGAGATTGATTTCTCACTTTCCTTCTCACCAGCTTACCTCTCTCTCTCTCTCCATGGCAAGCTCACATGCCCTAAGGCAAAAAACTACCAAAAAAAAAAAAAAAAAAGATAAGATAAGTAAATAAAAAGTCATTCCCAGTAAGTTCTGGGCAGAGGGAGCCAGATCCCATATGGCCCATCAGGACTTGAATCACAGCCCTGACAGTTTGAAAAACATGTACACAAGAACCTAGGTTTCTAACAGGTTGGGGAAATGGAGGAAAAAAAGATTGTGGCATGACCAATCCCCTCAAGGGTGCTCTTTCTGTCTTTCTCGCTCTCATGCACACACGTAATCTATGGCCAAAAAAAAAATACTAATTTTTTCTTTTAGAGGTTTTTACTTTAGGGTGCATCTCTCGCCAGAGAGAGAGAGAATCAAAGAGACAGAAAGCAAGAAATCACCCACCAGGAGGGATAACCCCTCTGCAATCCCATCTCCTCCATTTAACTTTTGGGATTTGGGGCATGCGCACACATGAGCCTGGTGTGAGTTTCGAGTCACTGGGTCCAGGACTTAATGGCAGCTGACCACACGGACTTCAGTGTCTTAACTATTATTCCACCTACTGGCCCAATAATAATAATAATAATAATAATAACTATTAATATTTTTTATATTTCATTAAGACACTTTACATTTTGGAGCCTATAAATTGATAAACTCCAAATTAGTAACAAGACAGTACTTAACAATATTTTAATTTTCTTTTTACTCAACAGCCCACCTTTATTTATTTATTTATTTTTTACAAACGAATATACTGAATTAAAGCAACAATACTCTTAATTCCAAGTTTAATGCCTGAGTATTTTTTAAAGAATTATTTATTTAATTTTATTTATTCATGTATTTATTTTAATTGGACAGAGAGACACATACACAGAGAGAAAGAGAGAGAAGGGGGGGCAGGAAGAGTGAGAAAGCAAGCCACCAGGTCCAATGTTTGAACCGTGGTTGGCCATGTCAAGTGTCCAACACCTTAACCACCACGCCACCTGCTGGTCCCCTCATTTATTTATTTTAATTTCACCAGAGAGAGATAGAGAGAGAGAGGGAAAACCACTACGTCCAGGACTCGAACTGTGATCAGCCATGTGGGAGTGTCCATCACCTTAACCACCATGCCACCTGCTGGCCCCAATGTCTAATTGTTTTTAATATCTATTTTTAAAATTTGTTTTAAAGAATTATTTATTTAATTTTATTTATTTATTCTCTCTCTCTCTCTCTCTCTCTCTTTTTTTATTTGACCAGAAAGAGACACACACAGAGAGAGAGGAAAAATGAGAAAGCAAGTCACCGTGGAGCCAGCAGGTGGCATGGTGGTTTAAGGGGTCGACTACGTGGGAGTCCAGCAACATAGCCATTACACTAACTGCTGGTTCCCTGTCTAAGTGTTTTTAATATCTATTTTTAAAATTTGTTTTAAAGAATTATTTATTTAATTTTATTTATTTATTCTCTCTCTCTCTCTCTCTCTCTCTCTTTTTTTATTTGACCAGAAAGAGACACACACAGAGAGGAAAAATGAGAAAGCAAGTCACCGTGGAGCCAGCAGGTGGCATGGTGGTTTAAGGTGCTGGATTCCCACATGTGCCCAAGATGCTGAGAAGAGAATGGAGAAGGGATTGTGGCGTGGCCATCCCCCGAGGGGTGATTTCTCGCTTTCTGTCTCTCTGTCTCTCTGGCAAGCACCCGCACTCTATAGCAAAAACCTCTAAAAAAAAAGAAAGAAAGAAACGGTATTTGAAGAGTATTATATTATCTAATATGATTTGTCAAACAAGCAAAATTCAGTAACTTTCCATTGTAAAGCTTATACTATTTGAAAATCGGGGATGTTTTCATTCTGCTTTTGATCAAAGTGGTACTCCAAGCCATTACGCTGAAACAAATTCCAAATTCACACTTACTTACATCATCTCAGTTTAATAACCCAATAACTGACAAAAAAGACAAACAATGACAACAGCATCATATAGCACAATAGTTTAGTTTGGCTCCCTCTGGACAGGATCTTCAATTTTCCCATAGTTTTATCTAAAGTCCAGTTGTGGAATCAAATTGGGAATCCATATCAGCTAATAATTTACTTTGATTTTTTTAATACAGAACTATTTATTTAGTTTTATTTAGTCATTCATTCTTTTTTTATTTTCTTTTTTAATTTGACCAGAGAAAGACACAGAAAGAGAGAG